CCTCCGTTTCAAGTTAGTTGCAACTTTCACCTTGACACGGTTTTTAAGACAAAATTTCATAATGGTGGTAGTACTTTTTTTTGCCTGGAAATAAAAATTGCCGAAATGTTTATCATGGTCCCTAATACCCTCCGTGAGTCCAATTAGGTGGGTGGAACCATCCAATTTGCCTTTAAATGGCCAATTTTCCGGTTTACAACTTGCACCGATTTCATCAACTCAAGCTTACCACGAAAATTTATGACAACAAATAATGATAATACATGATTCCAAACGGCATTATATGACCCCGAGATGCATACGCTAGGATTTCAAGGCTTTTCGACACCAGCACCGAATCCTCCAAAAGCGTGAATATTAGCCTTCAATTTTGAAATTTTTGAATTTTTTTCGCCTAGAAATAAAAATTTTAGAAATGTTTACCATGGTCCCTAATACCCTCTGGGAGTCCAATTGGGTTCGTGGAACCATCCAATTTGCTCTTAAACAGCCAATTTACCGGTTTACAACTTGCACGGATTTCATTAACTCAAGCATACTACAAATATTTATGACAACATATAATAATCATATATGGTTCCAAACGACATTATATGACCCCGAGATATATTCCCTAAAATATCAAGACTTATCTACACTGGGCGGCCCCAAAACCTCCAAAAAATTTCAAAAAAACGTGGATATTAGCCTTCAATTTTGGAATTTTTTGACTTTTTTTCGCCCGAAAATAAAAATTGTCAAAATGTTTACCATGGTCCCTAATACCCTCCGGGAGTCCAATTGGGTGGGTGGAACCATCCAATTTGCCTTTAAACAACCAATTTATCAGTTTACAACTTGCACCGATTTCATTAATTCAAGCCTACCATGAACATTTATGACAACAAATAATGATCATATATGGTTCCAAATGGCATTATATGACCCCGAAATGTATCCCATAGAATCTTAAGGCTTTTCGACACCGTTCCCCGAAACTTCCAAAATTTCTCAAAAAGCGTGGATATTAGCCTTCAATTTTGAAATTTTTTGACTTTTTTTTGCCCGGAAATAAAAATTTGCTAAATGTTTACCATGGTCCTTTCTATCCTACGGGAGTCCAATTGGGTATGTGGAACCATCCAATTTGCTGTTAAACGACCAATTTACCGGTTTACAACTTGCACCGATTTACCGGTTTACAACGGCCAATTTAATTAATTTGCATCGAACCCGACTTAAAACTAAATTGACCATAACCCTTCTTAACCGGTCAAAACCCGAATTTTTACTAACCTGACCTGAATTCAACCCGACCTGTTCCTAACCCGGCCCGAATTTAACCCAACTTGTTACAAACCCGACCCGAAATCAACCCGACTTTTTATTGACCTGACCCAAATTCAACCCGACTTTTTATTGACCTGATCCGGATTTTACCAGACCTATTACTTACCCGACCCAAAAATTTTACCCGATCTGTTTACTAACCCGATTCGAAATTAACACGACTTGTTATTGACCCGACCTAAATTCAACCCAAATTGTTCTTGACCCAATTTCAAATCACCTTAAATACAATTTAGACCACCTTATATTATTGTTGATTAAAGCATTTTGTCTAGGGAGACCAAGTCGGTCCACACCAGCAAAAAAAAGGAGCATCATCCTCAAATTTAAGAGTTAAATATAGCATATATTTGTTGTAAGGTAAAAGGAAATAATTATTTTCCTAAATTATAGACTATAGTTCCCTAGTATATTATCATATATATTATAGTCAAAGGAAATAATTAGCTTGATAAAAATGATAGTTAGTTGAACCCGAATATGACATGACTTTGAAATGACTCGACCTGATTGTAACCTGCAAATCATTGACTTGAACATAACCTGACTTGAATCTGAGAATGACCCGACTTGGAAATAACCCAACCTGATTATAACCCGCAAATTATTGACTTGAATTGAACCCGACTTAAACCCGAGAATGACCCGAATTGAAAATGACCCGACCTGATTATAATCCGCAAATTATTGACTTTAACCGAACCCGACTCAAACCCGAGAATGACCTGACCTGATTATAACTCGCAAATTATTGACTTGAACCGAACATGACTCGAACCCGAGAATTACCCAAACCCGTTTTAACCCGTGAAAATCCGAATTAAACCCGACCTATTGTTAACTCGACCCGAATCTAACCTGACCTAAACCCGACCCAAAACCCGATAATAAGTATGACCCGACGGTACGTGACCCGACTTAAGCATGACCCAACCCAAACCCGACCCGCGTAGGCTATGGAATTAATCCAAATTGACCCGACCCGAGTTAACCTGACCCAAAGCCGACTCGTTTATCCGAATTTACAACTCTAATAATTAGTGACAAAGTGATTAATAGTGTAATACACATTTTTAAACACGAAGAGTAGTCACATTACATTCAAGTGTCAATCTCTATCTTTCTCTCTCTCTTACATATTGAATATCAACTTTAAACCTTTTTATAATTGATATGGAGTAATTGAATGTACTGATGTAAAAATTTAATTACACAATGGCAAATACGCAGGGCCGTATCTGGGCCAGGGCAGCCGGGGCAGCTGCCCAGGGCCCCAAAATAGGAAGCTCAAAGTGTATTGTACAACTTGAATGCATATTTAACGTTAAAAATCCTCTTCTAATGTTTGGAAAGTTAAAAATCTACTCCTTCAATCAATCTTGGAAATTTGAATTAATTAAACTCAATCAATTACTCCCCTAAATCACCTTCCTTAATTAATGTTATTTTTTACGGAGAAATTTTCAACATCTATTCCAATTTATTCTCTAAATAAATTCCAAACTAGCCATAAGAATTTCACATAAACGTTTTTAATTTCACTGTTCTTCACATTATATTTCTCATTTTTTTTTCTCGTTTTTTACTCCTTATTATCTACTTTGTTTCTAATTTTTGCTCATCCAATTTGTGGTATTACTTTAGGTTTTGAGAGCCTGTTCTATACATCGGGTTATCTGCTCATTGATTTTTGCTCATTTAATAAATGAGCAAATTTTGTTTGTTCATCTATTAAATGAGAAAAAAAAAAGAGTAAATTACCCGGGATATATGGCACTTCTAGTTGTATATAACAAATTCTATTAGGTTTTAGATTTTACTTTTTTTTTTTCAAAACTTGAAGATAATTGAAATATACAATTGTCAAATTTATTCAATTATTTATCATATTTAGTAGTATTAGGAATAAAGAGTGTTGCGTAAAAGTATATTTTTGCATACCCAAATTACTTATCTAATAAATACTATGTAAGTGTTAGGGCCCCAAATTTTAGGTTCGCCCTTAGGCCACAAAATTCTCAGAAACGGGCCTGCAAATACGGAGTATATTTAAAGAAATGTGTTAGTTAATACAACAACATAAGGAAGAATGTTTATATCTTTTTTTCGACAGTATGAAAAAGAAGAGAACTTTTGTTTGCCAAGATATGGATACCGGCAAACCGGCATATCCAACGTCAAAAATTAGAGTTGGTAAAAATAAAGTTACATGAGATCATGAATTGGTTTGCAGTTTTGCACACATTCTACGTGACCCAATAGGCCAAAATATATATATATATATATATATATATATATATATATATATATATATATATATATATATATATATATATACTACTAATAATAATAATAGTAGTAGTAGTAATAATAAGTAATAATAAATCACGCTTTAATTGTATGGCGGCAACTGGATTTGAGTCATGACTGACCCAATTGAAACCGGCTTAAAAGAAGAACTAAATTCAAGTTTTAATTGTAGGGACACACTAATATAGCATGATTCAAATTTAAAATAAACATAATCCTAGCCAACGTCGTCGAACCCGACTTGGTCACTCCATTTGCCATGGGATTGGACCTCTTAATTGGTTATTTAGAGAGAAGTTTTCTGACACCAAAATCTTTATTTATTTAAAATTTAAAAATCTCGTTGAGATAATTTTAGGTGTACCTTAAACTTATTACGGAGTATATTAATATTAACTACGTATCTCTAATCCCCTCCTTATTCTAAAATTCTAACCTTAGAAGAGAGTGGAAAGCCCTCTTTTTTTTTAATCTTATATGTTTCTTTCTAGTAGTAGGAATTATTCTTCTCGAAATTAAGGTTTTTTTTATTATTCTTTTGTAAGAGGACAATTTTAGATTAAAAACAAATTTGATTAATTTTATTTTATAGATATGGGATGACTTATATCAATTAACTGATTTAAGTATTCAAAAAAATATACTCCGTATAATAATATGATTAATTAAATTTTAATACAAACAACATATATATAGCAAAGCTACTGGACAATGTGTTAGAAGACCAACTGCAATCGCCACCTGGAAAAAGCTTCCCCATGCATGATTTCATGGATATGGTTGCGAGAAGTCAAAGAGGGTATAAAAGGATTTTGTTGTTCATGCAAATCCAACGACCAATAACATCTTTCATGTTTTAATTTCATGGCCTTTAATTTGCTTGCTTTGTTATTGACGTTGCATTTATTATACCAAGTTTTTAAGGTTGCTTGTGCTCCCATTGGGATTTGGGATATTTATAAGTAAGGTTGGTTATGAGTTTTGGTCATTGGGTATACATTAAAAGTAAATTAAACTTACACTAGATAATTAACCATTATCTTGATATGGACTATATAATACGGAGTAAAAGTATACCCGTTTTGTGTGTAGCTGGCCACATCGTATGACTAAATACTCCCTCCGTTTCCGAAAGAACGACCCATTTGGCTTAATTTTAGTCCCAAAAAAAATGACCCATTAGCATTAAAATACCCACCAATTTGCAACAATATTTGTACAAAATTAGCTTCCCCATATAAAATTTTGTTTTTCCATATACTTTTATTACTATCTCTCTCTACTTTTTTATAAATCCCATGTAAATTTATCTTTCCAATGTACTTTTACTTCTTTTTATTGAACTTTATTAATGCCCGCGAAATCAACCCAAATGAGTCGTTCTTTCGGGGACGGAGGGAGTATAAAATAACAAAATAACCTCTATAATGGTGATAGGTAACCCCTATATGTAATACTGACTGGGGCAACCCCTATAATACTGACAAAATAATCCTTTAACACTGACCAAATAACTACTATTATACTAGCGAAGTAACTCCTATGATGGCTAGCTACATCGTATGGCCAACTACATATAAGAATTTAATCTACTTTATATAGATAAATTTGCTCTCATCTCTTTTTAAGAAATTGATTTTGTAAAAAACAACCCTAGTATAAGTTCAACCACATTATTTTTTTTTAAAAAAAAAAGCATGGGTCACTTAAAGCATGAAGGGAGTAATAAATAAATAAATAACCAAATTAAAGAGAAAGAAAAAGAATACGTGCCCAAAAGTCCAAAATACACCTTGTCAAAAACAAAACGAAATAATAAATAAATAAATAAAAATCCAAAATACACAGATTTGAAACTCTTTATATGAGGCACACATTCTCCTCCTACATGTCCAATTAATCCCACACCCAAAAGAAGAAAAAAAATATAGAAAAATGGAAGATACTAATTTTAGGAAAAAACATTTTGTACTAGTACATGGTGCATGTCATGGTGCATGGTGCTGGTACAAGCTTAAGCCTCTACTAGAGCATGCCGGGCAACGTGTTACGGTGCTCGACTTGGCGGCTTCGGGGATTAACCCGGCAAAGATATTTGAACTTCATTCTCTTCGCGATTACACCGAGCCATTAATTCAATTAATGACATCTATTCCTGATGATGAGAAAGTTGTTCTTGTTGGGCATAGTCTTGGAGGTCTTAGCATTGCTTTGGTTACGGAAATGTTCCCTCAAAAAATTGATGTTGTTGTTTTTCTTACTGCTTTTATGCCTGATACTCGTCACACCCCTTCTTTTATTTTTGATCAGGTATTCATACGCTTCTCAATTTTTATATGCTATTGATAAATAAATTACTATTGTTATATTGATTTGTTGTACGAGGACATCTTATAAGTAAAAAAAAAATTTTGGCTACGTTTCAATTTTTACACGTGGTTTAAAATGATTAAAGATATTATTAGTTATATTTACAAAATCAAATTAATTGTGAGAGACACTCAAGAAATCGAATGTAGTAGAATTATATGGGGAGTTGTTCAAATTTTAAAAAAATTATAATTATCTTTACATTAAAGGAAATGTATAAGTGTTTCTTCAAAAAAAAAGGGAAATATATGAGTGAGTATGCGCTATGAAATAAAACTAGTCTAAATTTCCTTGATTAATATAATTTTTTGTAAAATCATCGTATATATTAATTAGAATTCCTTTTTTAATTTGATCACAGAAATAAAAAATTTAAAAAGGTCTATTTCTTTTTTTATTTTATTTTATTTTATTCTTCTTGACAATATATATAATTTAAGTAATTTTCTGTAAAAATGATTCTATTATAATACGGAGTAATAAACTAAAAAAAATAATAATAAATAAATAAATAAAAAGTCATTTTCTTAATCACAATACTCCAAAACGTTAATTCTTCATTTTTGTAAAAATTGATTTCGTATACTTTTAATACAAATTTTGGTCCTTGTAGCTTATTGAATAAAAGAAAGTTTTGGTTAAAAATTACTGTAATTAAACAAAAGAATACATTTAAAGTATATCATGAAACATTGAAACTACCCTTGAAAGATACCTAACCATCCATGATTAGATACATATTAAATACCGCCATCCAAAATTATCAAAACCGTCAACATTTAGTGTGAATGGACAATCATGTCCTTAGTACTTCATTACTATCTTCCCTCTTTCCATCAATCACTAACACCTTGAATTGACACCACCACCCTAATTGACGACTAACACCACCACCACCCCCACCACACTGACCGGCGACGATCACCACCGCACTAGCGACCCACCACTACCTTCCCTCCTTTTTTTTTATTTTAAAATTTCAGATTTTTAGGCAATCGCGGTAACCAAAGTCCAAAATCAATTACCGTGTATGATAAACGGAGCCCAAAATCGGTTACCGTGCATGGTAACCGGAGCCCAAAACCGGTTACCGTGCGTGGTAACCGGTTTTGGGCTCCGGTTACCATGCCTAAAATAAAAAAAATAAAAAAAAAAAAAAACCACCACCTTCACGCCGACCAGGGAAGGTGGTGGGTTATCATAGAGGGTGGTGTGGTGGGTCGTCGGTCAAAAGGGGTTGTGATCGCCGGTTGGAAGGGGTTGTGGGTTGCCGGAAGGATGAAGGGATGGTGAAGTAGTAAGGGTATGATTGTCCATTCACACCAAATATTAGCGGTGGTGATCATTTTTGTTGGCGATGTTTAGCAATCCACTTCTTATACATATTTTAAATTAAACACTTTTTTCCAAATTATTTTTTGAGTTTAAAGCTAATCGCATACCTTCCAATCTAGTATGAATAGCATATATAAGCAAAGTCATGTTTTGTCCAAATTATTTACACTTATTTCAAGGAAAATAGCTTAGGTTTGTTAATAAGTACGTTAAAACTAGCTAATTTAAAATAAATTCTAATTTGTTCAAATAAGTTTGAGTAAGTTAATATTTCGGGTGAAAACAATGGGACCTTGCCGAAGGTCCGCTGAAATGGAGAAGGCTGGATTCGGTCCAAGTTATGTTGGGCCGAAGGTTTCCTGCACAGTAAACACACGTAAACTGGCCTCGGGGGTGTTGCCGAGGAAGGCCCCTCCGATGCTAAAGTCAGTACAATGTGTGAGAAGAAGACACTATGCAAGAGAGTTTGTTGCTTGAGGCTTTTATGGAATATATCAATGAACATATGAATCTATCCATGAATCAGAATGAATCCCCCCTCTTTGAATGTATCAATATGATGGCTTTTATACCTCATCATACATGGAGAGGTTGGGCCTTAGCCCAATTGGCTTGCTTTGTGGGCTGACCTTTGACTTTAGCACAATTGGAGAGTTGAACCTTGACCTTGGGCTTTTAATTGGATCATTTAGTGCTTAGGCCCAATTGGACTAAATTGGACCCAAACAACTTGCCCCCCAGACCCGATTTGGAAGGATGACGGGTCGGGTTTGATTTAATTCAGAAAAGGAGGGAAGTAAATGATTTAATTAATCCAAAAATTTGAATTTAAACCGTAATTAATGAGATAACAACGGTTAATGATTGTGGAAGTTGGACGGATAATGGGCAGTTTAATCACAAGATCATGTGTTTAACGGTTACTTAGTGGAGTATTTAAGAGAAATTAAAACGCAGACTCCTCGTATCCCATACCTGGAGATATAAACAGAGGCGCGTCATCTCTCCTCACTTATTCACCAACACAAACCCAGAATTCTCGAGAGAGAAACCAAGAACCCGCATCAAAACTTCGCAAATTCCCCGAGCATTAAGCTTAGAAACTGAGACTTGCCACTACGAACTCGTAAATCGGCAACTTTCGCTTCAGATTAAGGTAAATTCCTTTGATTTCAGTTTATTTTTCTTCGAATTCGAACTCCTTCCCCTTTTTTTCGACTTTTTTTTTTCTTCGAAATAATCAATGGCAAGAGGAGTTAGAGGTAGAGCCCGTGCTCCAAGAAGAGCAAGGCCGATTCCCGATCCTAAGAACAGGATTGGGACCTGGAATGGACAAAGGCCAGAGTCTGACCCTGCTGAAGGGATTAGGGCGACTCCCCTTTCCTCGGCTCCTCCTCAGAGAACGGAGGAGCCGAGCGCTTCTGGACGGGATGATGAAGTTCCCGCTGTCCTTTGGGATATCCTTCCCGGGTTTTCAGAATGGGAGAATGCCGAAGTTGCTTCGGCCATGATAAAGAACCGCCCCTACCCATGGTGGGTGGAGAATGCCGATCAATATCGATTTGCCGAGCAAATTGAGTTGCATTACGGCATTTTTGAAGCTGATGGGTATTGGTGCCGAATGCCCTCGGCATCCGATAGAATCCATCGTCCACCCCCGGGGTATGTGGGGGTGTACACAAGACAGCTTCAGTACGGGCTGAGGTTCCCTTTGGACGTATTCGTCCGAGACTTGCTGATCCATTACAACATCTCTCTATGTCAGTTAACTCCCACCAGCATCCGAAGGGTGATGACATACTTATGGGTCTGCAAGTTCTTCAAGTACGTGCCGAACCTGCACTGCTTCAAAAAGCTCCATCGGCTAGTGCCAAATATTCAAAGTGGGCACGGAAGCCATGGTTCTGGGTGGTACCGGATTGAGTCCCGGCCCCAATACCTAACCATGTGGCCAAACGACTCTTCAGACAAGGACTGGAGAGGTCAATGGATTTGGGTTAGGGCACCCACAGATCCGGGCCACCCTTGCGTCTTCAGCGCTCCCCGGTACCTCGCAGAGCCTGATCCCGAAATGGGAAGTCTAGGTCCCCCCGCAGATAACGGGGCGGATCCGAACCTGGATCAGCAACATATCTTCGGCAAGCTGCCGAACCGGGGGGGTAGTGGCCGAATGCAGCATATCCCGGAGACTTGGCTCCCCGATACGCATTACGTTTTCCAAGAGAACATGCTAGCAGCTGTTGGCCTCAGCCGAAAGTTTAAGGATGGTAAGCTTCTTCGGCTGGGGCCGAGGCTTTTTAACTCTTTTTCTTCTTTCGCTTCGCTTTTTTATGCTGTGCCAACCTATCTGAACTAAGCTTTCCCCTTTCCTTTTTCAGAGCGGGACGAGACCAACGTTGGCATTAACTACGCTCGTCTTGGTGTTAACCGAGAACGAGTTGTAACTGAACGGGCCCCGTCTATCACTGAGCCGAGGCATAGGGAAGTTCATCTAGACTCTTCCCACTTCCAAATTGAGGCTGTTGCTCTGTATCAGAGGCAGAAGCCTTGGTGGAAGAAGAGAGACCCCTGGTTTCAGCTGCTGGACGAAGAGGCTGAAGCTGCCCGCACAGCCGAAGAGGTTGCACGGGTTCTCGAAGCTTGCGAAGGAGGAGAAGGGTCCTCCAGAGCTGCTGAAGCAGAAGCTGCAGCTAGAGCAGCTGAAGAAGACGAGGCTTTGCTGAAGACCTCGGTGAGCTTTCAGACTTAACTTTTTATTTTTTCTTTTCTTTTTTTTTCTTTTTTTTTTTTTACTCACATTCTTCCTCCCCCCTGTCACAGTCTGAAGAGAGTAACAGACATAGAGAAGGGAAAGCTCCTGTTCGTCCCGAAGACCAAATACAAGGAGAGTCTTCAGACTCAGATATGGACGAGCAGCCCCTTCTGAAAAGGCGCCGAAGGATGGCCATCATCGGCCCTCATGACTTTCAGCGGAGGCCGATGACCATCGGCGTTGCAATAAGGGAACCCGAGGAAGGCAATGGATCGCCGAGGGTTCCCCGGCCACCACCCCAATCACCTCAAAAGACCCCTCCGCCACCTCCCGAGATGGAGGTGGATCAGAGAACTCCCGAATCTAAGGGAGGGGTCCAAAAAGAAATTAAGGAGAGTGCTGCTGAGCACGAAAACAAGGATGCCGTGATGTCCAGTGCTGAGGGCTTCACGGCAGACATCGCAAGAGAAGGATGATGCTGAGCCATCCAAAGCTAACCAAGCTCCATCGTCATCCTTCCCTTCTTTCCAGACTCTGCAATCTGGAGAAATGGGTTTCTCGGCCCCCCGAATTCCAATCCCAGACCACATCTGGGACCTCATATGGGGTCAGAACCGAGAAGGAGCTGCAGCCTACTTCGGCGATTTTGCTGGCATGTCCGAAGTAGATAGGGCAAGGATCTGGTCGCTGAAGGCCACTGCTGGGATGGGCGAATCCAGCAGATCAGTTCCTGACCCAGCCAGGTCTAACCAACTGCTGATGATGCAGGTAATTTTCCTTGTCTTCATTTCCTCTGAAATTCAGCTCTATATATTATTTTTTTTTATTATTATTTTTATTTTTTTTTGTCTTCCTGTTTTCAGTTCGTGCACAATCAGACTCTCACTGT